CATAATGCCACAGCAAAAATCTTTAGTTACAAGAAACCGCTTTTCACCACTTTTGGAAGATGAATCAGCAGTAGCCTCTCATGGTGCGTTCAGACCAAACGCGATTTCTGCGGCCAAAGCGGCGGGTCTACATTGACACAACATGGGGGACGCGCGCCAAGGAGCGGCAAGAGATCACGCGGCGCGATTCGCGCGGCCAGAGCGGCGCGAATTTGAGCGTTTCGCGCGATTCGCGCGGCGTGTTTTGAGATGTCAAGCGTTTTGACGCGATTCGTGCCTCCAACGCGGCCGCCGCTAGAGTTGAACAATGTTGAACTTTTTGGGAGAATTCGCGTGTGCCGACCAATCAGGAGCTTTCTCCTCCAGTGACGTAGTGACGCATTTCACTACCGGGAAAACACTAGTAGATGACAGTAGATCATGGAGGACACGTTAATAGCTCAGGTCGGTGCTCATTCTGAGCTATACAACACTGCAGACCACAGCTACCGGGACCGAAATAAAAAGGAGCTTGCTTGGAGGAGGGTTAGCGAGGTGGTTGGTGTCTCGGGTAAGTTATTTTAACTTTTCAATGTTGTAAATATTTCCCCGCGAAAAAAACTACTACTTTCCCGCTTACGAGTTGATGTGTTTATTCAGTGGATGTTTGCAAAAAGCGGTGGAAGAACCTGAGGGACACATATGCTAAGGAGAGCAGGAAGGAGAAAGAGAAGGTGAAGAAGAGTGGTGCAGAAGCAGGGAAAGGCCAGTGTGGTACCTTGTGGTCATGTCCTTCCTCGAGCCCTACATCACTCCCCGTGACAGCTCCGGGAACATGCCAAGGCGAAGGGCCGAGGAGGAGCAGACCACAGGGTACAACCACCCAGAAGAAGAGCCAGAGGAAGCAGCAGCAGCAGGGCTGTCAGGTGCTGAAGGTCGGTGTCATGCAGCAAACAGAGACCTCCAACAGTTGGAAAAAATACATTTCTTTCCTTTCTATTACCCACATTTTGCTGACTTTTACATTTATATTGCTTTCTGTGTATGCATTTCTTTTAATGCTTTCTTAACATCATGGCCAGGTGAAAATAGGCATTGGCTATTTTCAAACCAGGATAGATCTTGATCATGTGTTGTGTTAAATTTCACTTTTCCCTTTCATATGAACAAATCATTTAAATGTACATAATAATGTACATTATTATGTACATATAAATGTCATAAGCGCAATGTACACATGATATGAAATAATTGTATTTCTTGTTTTCTTCTGGCGCAGATACTGCCACCACCACACAAGGTGAGACATCTTGGCCTGAGCTGCCTGCTGCTGCTTCTTCTTCCTCAGCCGGTTCTTCTTCTGTGAGGGCTGGACCTTCCCCTGCTTCTGCACCTACAAGTGTGGCTTTTTTTAATCATTGTTTTATTTTTTTCTTATTACAGGACTGTTCATATAAACAAAATGTTACTGCATAATATGCCAAAATTACCCAAAGGCTGTTACATCAGTGTAGACGACAAATTTACAGAGAAACGACAAGATGTCAAGGCACTACAGGTGGAAAGAAGCTTTGGTCTGAAGCTTCACATCTTCCCTCTTTCTTTGATAAAAACATACTACTGAAATACCTTATGCTATAAAAGTACTGAACAAATACATGCAATGGTTGCCACAAGATGGCAGCTATCCTGTTTAATGCAGACAATAGAGTATTACTTTTTTAACAGCCAATTTCAAATTTCATTGCGAAATACACTTCAGAGATATTAGTTTGTAACTGTCGAAATTTGTGCTTGTGTGAGTAATTTCATTGATAACTGCAATGTTCAAGTTAATTGTAACACAAACACACAACTTAAAAGTGTTTTACATGTGTTTAACTATGTCTACACACTCTGGCTTTAATACAAATATTATTTGCTCTCTTCATTTTGCTTTTTTGAAATACATGTTCCACTTTTTAACACTGTGATTGCCCTGTGTTCTTTGAAGGCCCACCAAGGAAGAGGGCTCGGAAGAGGCCCACGTCCGTAGAGCCGCCTTCAGAGTGGGAGCGGGAGCTGCTGGAGACTCTACGGACCAAAGCAGCCGCACCGCCCCACAACTCAGAAGAACATCAGTTCCTGCTCTCTCTCGTTCCTCTCCTGCAAAGGGTGGCACCAGAGTCAAAAGAATTTGTGAAATTCAAACTGTATCAACTTCTATATGAAAGCAGCACCGTTCTGCTTAATTTGGAACCATTGGCCAGTACAGACAGTTTTTTGACCTAAGGTGACACCTTTTGCAGGAGAGGAAACAGACATGTGTCCCTTTCCTCTTCCACCGCACCTCCTCCAAGCAAGCTCCTTTTAATTTGTTTATATGTACATTTAATTTATTGTTCATTGTTTGTTCCTTTTTTTATAAAGAAAATATTTTTCAAACCTCATGTGTTCTACTTCAAGCAAACCATTACTACCTTTCATATAATACTGACAGAAAATGCTATTCTATATTTGTACATTTACTTTAATAAGAGCTGACTGAGTTTTATAGAAGATGAAATAACTAACACTTAAAGAGCAATACATTAGTTGGCAGTATTTTTTATTCATTTCACCTTTTACTGTTTTAACAAACTTGTAATTACGGAAAAGCTTGAATGTGCATATGATTAACCTGAAGTTGGAGTGGAGTCGCAGTGGAGTCTGGCAGTCATTACCTAGAAACATAAGGTATACAGGTGAATAGAACAGTGCAAATCAATATGGGTTTGGACTATGGCCAGAAAAAATGTAAAGAATTTCATATTCAAGAGGCTCAGCACATTATATGTCAGGAATGAAGTTAGGCTCTTTGTATTTTGTGGGTGGCTCTGAAAAGAGCCGTTGTGGGTGGCTCTGAAAAGAGCCGTTGTGGGTCAGTCTTGTGGTGGACATGACTACTCTGTGGGCTGCCACGGCAGTGCTCCCTCCTCACTGAAGTGGGCCATGAACACCTTCCTTATGTCCACTGCTTCTCTGGTCGCGTTGTTGGCGCCCATCCGCTGCACGCCTGGAAGTGGTTCTTCACCGGCAGCAGCTCCCCTCGGTGCAGGAACCTGCCCATCTCCAGCCATCCTCATGAAGTTGTGAAGGACACAAGTGGCCTTCACACACTTCTCCACAACTTCTGGGGAGACTTCCAGGTGACGGCGAAACACTCTCCACTGCGCAGACCAAATCCCAAATGCATCCTCCACCACTAACCGGGCCCGGGAGAGGCGGTAGTTGAAGGTGCGCTGCTCTGGGGTAAGGCCACCACGTCCAGGGAAAGGGCGCATTAAATTGCGGCGCAGTGGAAAGGCCTCATCTGCCACGAACACATGGGGCTGGGGTCCTCTGTGGTCAGCTCCAGGTATGCACTGGTCAGGAGGCAGGTCGAGTGTGCCCTCGCGCAGAGCCTCACCAAAGGCAGAGTTGGCCATGATGCCTCCATCGCTGGATCTGCCGTACCCTCCCACATCAATGACCCTGAACCTGTACTGGGCATCCACTACAGCCAGGAGCACAAGGGAATGGTGCCCCTTGTAATTAAAAAACATGGACCCAGAGTTGGGGGGTGCCTTCACAGCCACATGCTTCCCATCAATGGCCCCACAGCACAGAGGGAAGTTCCATCGGACCTCAAAGTCCTGCGCTATGGACCTCCACTCCTCTGCTCCAGGCACAGCCATGAACTCCTCCACGAGGCAGTCCCAGATGGCTGCCACCACATCTGGGATGAGCATGGAGACGGTGGATATGCCCACTCTGAAGCTCCCCGCAATGGTCCTGTAGGAGTCCCCAGTGGCAAGAAACCTGCAATTACAAAATGATATGAACATATTTATCACAATTACATTCATAAAAATCACGTGACAAAACTTGTGTAGCATAAAATACGTTAAACTAGTAGACAGTAAACATCATAGACAGTAATCATAGACACCAAATTGTTGCATAATACTGTTTTCTGAGCTATTACATTGTGGATTGTGATTGAAAAATGACAAACTTTGTAAGTATTTAGGAATTCCGAATGGGGTAAAAAACACTAACCGCAGACAGATGGACAGGCGCTCTTCAGCTGGAATAGAGCGCCTGTAGTTGGTGTCCTGGTAGGTGATCCTAGCGCCAATGCGGGTCAGTAGGTCGTCAAACTGAGCCAAGGAGAGCCGAAGGTACCGCTGAAAGCGACCCTCATCCGAGCGCAGCTCCCGGAGCAAATGGTGAAACTCACCAAACTCCAACCGTCTACGGACTATCTGGTGAATCCAGACACGTCGTCGATTCGCCCTTTGACGACGCTGTCTGGCTTTATTTATTAGATAGAGCCAAGCAACTCCTTCGCTGACATCCATTTTGGGAAGCTACAGGCAAAAGAGACAAGCCCCGCCCCTAAACGCTCTCAACTCTCTGTGACAGCGGCTGCCCTCTAGTGTCCTGGCCGCGCGGCCAAGTTTCTCTGTGACAGCGGCTGCCACAATTTGTCACAAGCGGCTCAAGCCGCGCGATATACGCGATTTGGCCGCAGAAATCGCGTTTGGTCTGAACGCACCATCAGTCCCAGTCTCAGTCTCAGTCAAGGTCAAATGCAGCTGAGTCGCTCTTTATCGGGGATTCGGCGATAAGAAATGTAAATATGCGTAATCTCAAGGTTCACTCAGTACACTCTGCTAAAGTGGATGAGATAAGGCGGTTGGCTCCGAGGCTTCTGTCTGAGACCGGCGGGGTAAAAAGATTGTTGATCCACGTGGGGGCAGTAGACGACACAAGTCGAAAAAGTTGAAACGGGATTACTCTCTCTTATTGGACGACCTTGCTAAAATGGACACAAAAATCATTATCAGTGGCCCACTACCAAATGTGGACGGGAAGCAAATGAAATTCAGTCGTCTGTATCAGCTAAATACTTTCCTACTCAACGAATGTTCACACAGAGGACTTGCCTTCATTGAGAATTTTAATCTGTTCTGGAATAGGCATGAGCTTTTTGAAGGGAAAGGGCCACATCTGAACACTTACGGAGTAAGTTTCTTTTGCCCTGAGACCTCAGCCTGCGCAGCGCGTGCAGCCATCGAAAGGGAGGAAGCCAACTCCAAAAGTCTCTGCACCTCCACCACCTCGAAGGATCTCAACACCACCACCACCTCGAAGGATCTCAACACCACCACCACCTCGAAGGATCTCAACACCTCCACCACCTCGAAGGATCTCAACACCTCCACCACCTCGAAGGATCTCAACACCTCCACCACCTCGAAGGATCTCAACACCACCACCACCTCGAAGGATCTCAACACCTCCACCACCTCGAAGGATCTCAACACCTCCACCACCTCGAAGGATCTCAACACCTCCACCACCTCGAAGGATCTCAACACCACCACCACCTCGAAGGATCTCAACACCACCACCACCTCGAAGGATCTCAACACCTCCACTGTCATCAGAAGCAGCTGCATCATCACCAGCAGCAGCTGCATCATCACCAGCAGCAGCTGCATCATCACCAGCAGCAGCTGCATCATCACCAGTAGCAGCACCAGCAGCACAACCACCACCACCAACATCCTCATCCCCAGCCTGCTCCAAAGCAGCCACGCCTTCTTCATCTACAGCGCCTCTGAAGCCCCCATCCTCACCCCAGCCTACAGCAGACAGGCCTGTGCTGGGGTTTCCTCAACCACCTGCCCCTCCATCAAAGACTCCCTCGCCACCTCCCATGGACCTGTCTTGGGTCCCCCCTGCCACGTCCACTCCATCAAGAGAGAATGGGGACACCTCCCTTTGTTTTTCATCCCCGCCTTCACTGTTAGACCTACCTGAACACTCTGCAGGGCTAATAAAATCGGCGATGAAGACTATTCCTCTCACACCCATATTAGCTCGATCTAGAGTCCTGTCCAACATGCTAAACCACTCCCCATATGTACCTCCAAAACCACCTAGGGTTTCCAATTCACCTACAAAAACCACCTCAGCCAGTCCCTCCCCTAACCTCATGACCATTCCACCCCCACTTCCCCCTCGTTCAACATCCAAAACCTCTGCCTCAGCCCTCCCCGGCCCTAACCCATCACCTAAAACCCCTCCACCTCCCTGCCCCCCTCGTTCAACACCCAAAAGCCACCCACCTCTCCATCCTCCTCCCCTGCCTTCCCCTTCCCCTCTTTTCTCTAAACACTAGGATGCACAGGGTCTCTGCTTCGCAGCCACTGGCAGTCTAGTTAGAGGAGAGACCCGGCTGGGGCCCTGTCATGAAGCCACCTGTGCCATTCCCTTAGTGATAACACAAAGAATACATTACAGAAAAACATCTGGAGTTAATCAGTCTAATCTGGAAAATCTAATTCTTGTTCCGTATAAGAATCAGCCGACCGCAACCGCTGATACTGAAACTTTGAAACTTGCTACGCTTAATGTCAGATCTCTTTGTAACAAGTCTTTTTTAATCAATAATTTTATTTGTTCTCATAATCTTGATCTTATGTTCATGGCTGAAACTTGGCTTGGATCAAAATTCAGAAAATGCAGTTTTAATAGAAGCATCACCACCAAATTTCAAGTTTGAATCTGAAATACGGGAAAACAAAAAAGGAGGAGGCTTAGCTGCCATTTTTAGAGACCACTTTGTCTCCCATAGAATGTCTCTTGGGAAGTTTTCGTCATTTGAATATGTGTCTTTTAAAATACAACAAAAACAATCTCCTCCAATACTCTTCGTTGTCCTATACAAGCCACCGCAGTCATGTCACAGTTTTATTGATAATTTTACCGAGTTGCTTTCAGTTGTATGCACAGATTTTGATAGTTTGGTTATTACAGGTGATTTTAATATTCATGTGGATAATGTTGATGACAGAAATGCAAATGAGCTGAGTTCTGTACTTGAATCCTTTGATCTCACTCAGCACGTAAGTGGCCCCACCCACAGCAGAGGGCACACTCTAGATCTGTTAGTTACAAAGGGGGTGATTATTTCAAATGTAAACGTGGTCGATGTTGCTCTTTCGGATCATTTCTGTGTTTTTTTTGACATGTGTTTCACTAACAAACCACCAGTGGACTCTGCAACTGTTCGAAGAAGGCGCATAAATGAAAATACGAGTGAACTATTTATGGAAATGATAAACTTTGAAAATGCATCGTATTCTACTGTAGATGAACTGTTTAACTCTGTCACCTCTAGTGTTTTGAATGTTCTGGATACCGTTGCCCCTGTGAAGGTTAAAATAGTGAAAAATAAGCAGAAGGCGCCGTGGGCTAAAGCAGACTCGGTCAGGGCACAAAAGAGAAAGTGCCGGAGGGCCGAGCGGAAGTGGCACAAGTCCAACCTCCAGGTAGATTACGAGATCTTCAAAGATAAGTTGTGCGAGTTTAACCGGATGCTACGTAGTACGAGAGAAAGGTATTTTTCTGAAATGATTGAAGGCTGCAGCAACAATCTGCGTGTTCTGTTCTCAACAGTTAATAGATTAACAAACCCCCCTGTTCAAATGCCATTAGAGCTTACTTCCAAACGTAAATGCAATGAGTTTGCTAATTTTTTCAATGACAAGGTTCAAGGCATCAAAAACGCCATTGTCTCCAATCCACAGATAACCATCCAACAGCCAGAAAGGCTCTCTGAGCTAACTCACTTTGCACCTGTAAATGATAAAACTGTCCAAGAGATAATCTCCAGTTTGAGCTCCTCCACATGCAGCTTGGATGTACTACCCACTAGATTTCTGAAGTCTGTTCTGAGCAGTCTGTTACCTTCACTCACACAGATAGTAAACATGTCCCTTCATTCTGGAATATTCCCAAAGGCCCTGAAAACTGCAGTCATCAGGCCCCTGCTAAAAAAGAGCAGTCTCGATGCTACGGTACTTAACAACTATCGTCCCATCTCAAATCTGCCATTTATGGGGAAAGTCCTTGAGAAAGTTGTCTACCTACAGCTTACTAGTAGTAAGTAAGTAAGTAAGTAATTATTTATATACCGCCTTTTCACTGCAGAGCTGAGTCTCAAAGCGGTTTACAATTGTTATTTTTTTGGGAGCGGGGTCACCAGTACAGGAGGCGCATGCCAGAACTATTTTACATATTTTTACCGGTAGGGGAAACCAGAGTACCCGGAGGAAACCTACGCAGACACGGGGAGAACATGCAAACTCCACTCAGAAAGGCCCTGGTCCAACCGGGATTCGAACCCAGGACCTTCTTGCTGAGAGGCGAGAGTGCTATCCACTCAGCCACCGTGCCTTACTAGATTTCTTATAATCAACAACTCATTTGATATGTTTCAGTCCGGCTTTAGACCCCACCACAGCACTGAGACTGCTCTCGTCAAGGTTACAAACAATATCCGGCTGAACACTGACGCAGGCAAAGTCTCAATCCTAATCCTGTTAGATCTGAGTGCTGCCTTTGACACTGTCGACCATGAGATCCTCTTACAGAGACTAGAGGACTGGGTTGGCGTCACTGGCACCGCCCTAAGTTGGTTTAGGTCTTACCTTGAAGACAGGAAGTACTTTGTGGAGATTGGAAACTGTGTCTCAGATCATATGGCCCTGACCTGTGGAGTCCCACAGGGGTCGATCCTAGGACCTCTTCTGTTCAATCTCTACATGCTGCCGTTAGGTCAGTTAATACGCAGAAACAAAGTTTCCTATCATAATTATGCAGACGACACTCAGATCTATGTCTCACTGACTGCAGGAGAACATGGACCAGTGGACTCACTCCTTCACTGTATCCAACAGATCAGTGAGTGGATGCAAAACAACTTCCTTCAGCTAAACGCAGACAAAACTGAAATGATTGTCTTTGGTCCCCAGAAACAAAGAGAGAGCGTCATCTGTCACCTACAGTCTCTCTCCCTAAAACCTTCAAACAAGGTCAGAAATCTAGGGGTAATACTGGACTCAGACTTAAATTTTAATAGCCACATCAAATCATTAACATCAGCAGCTTTTTACCATCTAAAAAACATTGCCAGGATCAAAAACATAGTGTCTAAAGCAGACCTGGAGATTCTTATCCATGCATTTGTCTCCAGTAGGTTAGACTACTGCAATGGCCTGCTCACAGGTCTGTCCAAACAGGCTGTAAAACAGCTGCAGTACATTCAAAATGCAGCAGCTCGAGTCCTGACTAGAACCAGGAAGTACGACCACATTAGTCCAGTCCTCAGGTCTCTGCACTGGTTTCCTGTGGCTCAGAGAATAGACTTTAAAACAGCTCTGCTTGTGTACAAGTCTCTCCATAGCCTCGCACCAAAATATATTAGTGACATGTTAGTCCCATATGAACCAGCCCGGACTCTGAGGAGCACAGGGACTGGACTCCTGTTAGTGCCCAGAGTCAGAACTAAACATGGGGAGGCTGCTTTTCAGATTCATGCTACTAAAATCTGGAACAGTCTTCTTGAAGATGTGAGACAGGCCTCCTCTCTGACAATGTTTAAAACCAGGTTAAAGACAGTTCTGTTTAACTGTGCATACAACTGAGGGATTTTATATTTTCATCTTTCTTTTTAATGTTCTGTGATAATTTATGATTTTAATGCTTTCTTGTTTTGTTCAGCACTTTGAATTGCCTTGTGTATGAATTGTGCTATATAAATAAACTTGCCTGCCTGCCTGCCTGCCAATATGGTTTTAGATCAAAAAGATCTACAGCCATGGCAGTAATGGAGTTGGTCGGGGAGATAACCACTGCAGTGGACAAAAGAGAGTTCACAGTCGGTGTGTTCATAGACCTCAGCAAGGCCTTTGACACCATAGATCACACAATACTTTTAAACAAAATGCAGAGGTATGGTGTCAGAGGTCTTGCTTGTAATTGGCTAAAGAGTTATCTTGGTGGCAGAGAGCAGTATGTTCAAATAAACAACACAGATTCAGATAAAAGGATCTCAACACACGGAGTCCCTCAAGGCTCTGTATTGGGACCTAAGCTATTTCTAATGTATATTAATGATGTATGTAAAGTGTTTAAAAAGTTAAAATCTATACTGTTTGCTGATGACACAAGCCTGTACTGCTCTGGGCCAGATCTCAAGAAACTCATTCCAACAGTCAAGAATGAACTTGTTATTCTTAAACAGTGGTTTGATACAAACAAATTATCCATAAATTTGAATAAAACTAAATACATAATCTTTGGAAACAGAAATATTGACACACCATGCCACATACAAATATCTGATGTGGAAATTGAAAGGGTGTATTCTACTAAATTCTTGGGAGTCAACATAGATCATGAATTAAATTGGAAGCTGCACATAAACATACTAAAGACAAAACTCTCAAAAAGTATAGGTATGTTATACAAAATACAAAACTCTGTAAATCATGATGCACTTAATATGTTATATAATTCCTTCATACTGCCATATCTCAATTACTGTATTGAAATATGGGGTAATAATTATAAATCTAACACCAAGTCAATTTTCACACTCCAAAAGAAAGCTATCAGAATCGTACATTATGCTGATTATTATGCACACACTAATTCCTTGTTTATTAAATCTAAAACACTAAAGTTTTACGATCTGGTTGATTTAAACACTGCAATT